TTCCTCCATAGTTTTTGCATTTGATTCTTTACTGCAGATGTTATTAATTCAGGGATTTCTTCTTTTATTTCCAGTCTGAGTTCCTCTATACCTTTCTGCAGCTCTTTCTTTATTTCAGAAGCCGTTGATTCTTTGCTGTCAGCTGTGTGATTCCCAATTTGTTCTATGTTAGTGTCCTCTGCACTTGTTATGGGTGGGCTTGGGTTCTGAGATTGCATTTTGTTCCTTCTCATCATTTTGTGTAACACTGTCTTCTGACCTTTGTTGTAGTTATAACCTTAGCACATACTAAAGTTCAGGTGCAGATCTACAAAGTTTGGATTTATCCAGCTGTGTCTGGCTTGGGTCTGGCTGCTGTGCTCAGCTCCTTTCTGCTGCTGTCCTTGGGAGTGAACCTGTTGTGCCCCTCAGGCAAGATGTTCTGCTCTTGGACTAGCTGGGTGCTTCTGTCCCCTATACTCTCTGCAGGGATTGCAGCTGCAGGGTTTCACCCAGGCCTGTATGCCAGGCCTGAGCTGAGTCTGGAGGGGACAAGATGGAGTAGAGGGAAGAGGCATCTCTCCCACACACTCACCGGTCCTGGGCTAGGACTGGATCTGGGGGTTCCCGGAACGCGGCAGAAATTCCTACTCAGGGGGTGTTGTGAGGGGGTACTACGGAGTCATGGGGGGTGTCCCAAGGGAGTGGAAGAGGGTCTCACCCATGCTGCACCTGGGCTGGGACCAGTTGGTCCCGCTGGCACAGTGTAGCGGGAAGCTCTCCCACACACTCACCGGGCCTGGGCTAGGACTGGGTCTTGTTAAAGTTGTTTTTGAATAGGGATATTTGCAGAAAGGTTTGTAACTTAAAAAACCATTTCTAAGGTAGACACATCTTAATTTGCTTCAACACAGCCTGTGGGCATGCTAGGTGGGGAAAGGCAGCACATCTCACGGTGTGCTAGCTCTTGCCTTACCTGCCAGAGTCCATAGGCTAAGAACAGTGATTCTCAACCAGCAGCTACCTGCCCCTTCAGGAAACACTGGGCAGTACTGGGAGACAGTTTCAGCTGTCCTGAGGAGGGTGGGAGGGTGCCACCCACAGGTAGTGGGCAGAGGCCAGGGAAGCTGGGAATCTTATTGTGCACAGGATAGCCCTCTGCAACAAGGGATTTTCCAGATTCAAAGGTCAATAGTACTCAAACTGAGAAATGCTAGATTAATGTGACCCTTCTCAAAATCTGGGCTGACAGGATGGGTGAAGAAAAAAGGGAGAGCAGGAGCAGCAGTGGCCCTGTGCCTCTGAGGGAGGACACAGGGGTTCTGAGGCCTGAGCTCTGAGCCGTGGTGCTGGAGCACGCTTGCAGTCCCCTGCTAAGCAGTGTTTCTCAGTGGCTTCCCTTGGAACCCATGTGGCCCCCTCCTGACAGTGAGCCTGAAGGGTGCAGATGCCTAAAAGGATAATGAGAGCCGCTATCAGGTGCTAACAGTGCAGATTAGGGTATTGCATTACCCTAGAATGGGGATAGGGACTGGGACAGTTACATTGGTGCACCTCAGAGCCTACAGCGCAGTAGCTAGGTAGCTGAGGGGCTGTGAGGTTGGTGGATGTGAAGGTCAGTGTACCTTCCCTTCCAAGACCTTCCTGGGTGGGGAAGGGGTGGAGAGTGTGGCCAGTGTCTGCAGCAGGAAAGGCGATGTCTTGTCTCCAGGGAGGCTGTCTGGCCACCACCCGCACCTCCACTCTCCTTGGTCCAAACTTCTTCCTTCAGATTCCTGTTCTCTGCCTCTGGGGCAGAAGCAGGGGCAGGGAGTGGGTAATGGCCAAGCTTAGGGAGCCCTCAGCCATCAAGACCTCACACAGTACCCTCTTCTGAGGCCAGCTCCCTCCCGCGGTATACCCACAGCCCGGGAATGGGTCTCAGTGCACAGCAAGCATGAGCTCATGCTTCCTGCTGCGGGCCCTCCGGGTGGCTGCACCAGGCCGAGAAGCTGGGGAATGCAGTGACTTCATGGCTGACCTCGACTTGCCCTTTGTGATCTCAGCTTGTACAGTAGCGGGGATGTTGTGAGGGCCTCTCCAAGGCAGAGGAGTAGAAGAAAACATTCCTTCTTCCCCAGCATCAGCATCCTTCCTGAAGGTCCCGACTGGAGCTCATTCTAGCTGAACTGTGGCACGGTTTCCTACTTTCTTGCATGCCCTGCTACTGTTCTCTTGTGGAAGCCCACCCAGGCCTGGGGTCCCAGCCAGGCTTCCCACAGAGGAGCTGAGAACTCAATAGGAGACAGAATGGAATAAACCACTCTGTTGCTCTTAACCCAGGCGTTAAGGGCAGTGCTCTGCTCAGCATGGCCAGGCGTAGCTGGAGTTCTGGGAACCTTATCAGGACTCATTGGCCAGGCCTTCAGATTGCAGCCTAAATCTAGGTCAGGTCATTGGGGGATGGGTCTGCCATGTGCTCCAAAAGAGTTCTGGGGTTTGGGGTCTCGAGCCAGGGCTGCAGTCTTGGCTTTCACTAAGCTGCATGGCCTTAATCGACCCTGCTAGCCACATTATTGTTGAGTGTTTTTCATCGCAAATATTAGATAAGCTGTTACTTGACTCTTGGGGCTTTGGGATGGATAACATGAATCACTGATTTGCATGGGAATTTGCGAATCTCCTTTCCAGTTGCACACTTTATAGCTGGCGGAATTGAGAGGAGATGAAGAAAAGTAATTTGTCCAAGTTCACAAGTTGCAAGGTTTAGGCCTGGACTTCCCCACTTTTGCTAGAGGCGCCAGGAACAGCAAAGCCCGGCAAGGGAAGCTTGCGTCATTCACAGGTGATGGTAGGACCACAGCTGGGACAGGCAGCAGATGGAGTTTGGGGCCAGGCTGCTGGGGTTCAAATCTCTACTTTGCTGTGCCACTCTGTAAATGATTAAATCCTTTCTAGTCTTTTGTTTCTTTGCATCAAATCATGGGGCTAATAAACTGCTTCCTAAAGTTGTGGTCGGAACTAAAGGGAAAAGATCTGCCTGAGTTCTGAAGTAGCAAGAGCTGGAGAGATGTCAGCATGTCTGTGACTCGCAGTAGACAACAGGTGTCCTGGTCACATGAGGGCGAAGACCAAAGCCCTCTGCACACAGGAGCATGTGACAAGAGCCAGCTGTCACGCTGTTTCAGAAAGCATTCAGGCTGTGAGTGTGTCAGCCTGGAAGGAGGGCAAGGCAAGGACTTCTTTACAGCAACTTCTGGGCTTCAGTTCTTGTCCCTTGTGGGGGCAGCAGGTGCTGAAACTGGCTGACCTGCTGTTCTGAACTCCTGGCCTCTTCCTCATGCCAGTGTTTGTGAGCCCCATTTACCTGACAGAGACCCGCCTTCTGCTTCTCCCTGTGCCATGGAGTTTGTGTCCTCAATGTTGAGTTGTATGGATCTCATTCCAAACATGATCACTTGGTGATCTGCTTCCAGGTCCCACCACCCAAGGGTAGGTGAAGAGGCAGGTGATGGGGAACATTTCCAAACCCTGGACCCTGGGCCAGGAGGGCTTGGTTGCCACATGTTCTTTTGTGGGTCTGAGAGGACATGGAAAAGCAAATGACTCCCTAAATTGATCCTGGAGCTGGGACCTTGCGCTGTCATTGAAGTGACACTCAGCACTGTAACTCACCCTGCTCGGGCTCTTGGTGTGGGGAGAGAAGAGAAGGCTTCTGGGGGTGCAGCCTCCAACAGCCTTTCCAGAACCTGGCTCTGCCCAGCCATTCACTGTCTTCCCCTCTGGCCCGCTCATCTCTCCTGGTCCACCTGAGGCACAGTGGACAGGAGTGTGTCCTTTGTGACTGCCTCTCATTTTGTTGGGGGACTCTAGTTTTGTGCAGTTTTGACTGAGTACTTTAGCACTCTCAGCGGCCCTGTGTTGGCCTCACGCGTGCTGTGGTTGCCTACTTAAGAAACACTGCTCTTGCCTCAGACTGTCATTTGGGATTATCTTTGGCCTCTTAGACCCTGGCTTCTGCAGGAGCATAAGCCCCCGAGATGCTGGAGCTGTGTTGCTCTTTGCTCATTGTTCTGTCTCTGGCACCTATCCTGGGGCCTGGCCTCAGCAGCACTCCACAGCTGTCTGTAGTGACAGAAGAATCAGCCAGGTTTGGGAGAGCAGAGGGCCATAGGGCACAGTGACCAGAGAACAGCATCAGGGCTTGCGGACCCATGACCCAGGGGCCAAGGAGAGGATCCAGGTGTAGAGTGAGCATCAGGAATGATAGAAAGGAGGGTGGACTCGCTTTCTAGGGTTGCTGTATCAGAGCACTGTGGAACTGGGTGTTAAACAATATAAATGTAGTATTTGACAGCTGGAAGTTAAAATTTCAAAATCAAGATGTTGGCAGAGCCCTGGTCCTTCGAGAGCCTCAGGGAAGAATCCTTGCCTCTGGTGACTTCTGATAGCTCCTTAGTGTTCCTTGGCTTGCAGCTTCACTTCTCCAATTGTGCCCTCTATCTTCACTTGACTTCCTGTCCAGTGTATGTCTCGTTGTGCCCTCCCTTCCTCCAAGGATGCAAGCCATTGGGTTCACACCACTTTAATCCAGTGTGATCTCATGTTAATGTTATTGCATGAGCTAAGACACAGTTTCCAAACAAAGTCGTATTCTGAACTTGTTGGAGGACGTGCATTCAGGGAGATACTAGTCAACCCATAATGTGGGGTTACAAGGGAGGCAGTCTCTTTCAGAATCCAGTGTTTCCAGTGGCTGACATCATGTTGTGGAAAGGGTTTTGAACCAGATCCCAAAATCCTGGGTGTATAAAGCAGACTTTTGACAAATCTCTGCTCCTGTGAGCCTATTCATCTGTTCATTGTGCATAATGACATCTGTGCTGCCCCACTTCCTGGGATTATCATGCGGAACTGGTGGCTTAGGGAGGTCTTAGAGAGAAGGTTTTTAAATTATTGAGAATCTGTCATCTTCATGGGATGCTACCATTGGCATGTTTGTTGGTGTCACTTGACCTGACCACTTCCTTTCTCTTTGCTAGGATCACTGCTTCTATCATGGGGTGGTGAGGAAGACAGAAGGATCCAGCGTCACACTCAGCACCTGCTGGGGCCTTAGGTAAGAGACTCTGGCACTCTTTCCAGGCCTGGGATTTTCAGACAAGCAGAGTTAGCCCCATGAGAGGCTACTGAGAAAGAGGCCACTGAGGGTGTGTGTGAAGGGGCCAGACATGGAAGGAGCAAGTGAAATCCTGTATTCTCCACATATTCACTGAGACTGGGTTTTCCTCTCCTCAGGAGCTTGATGATTTAGAACATAGGCTTTATTATGTAGATATGATCAGGCCAACAAATCAGGAGATGATTACCATTGAAAAGGTGGTGATGCTCACAGAAAGGGAGGTCCACTGCTCTGAGAGGCTCCATGGGAGAGGTCTGAGTTATCAAGAGGCAGTAAGGAGCATATGGGCAGCTGCTTTTCCTGTGGTGTCTGCAGGGAGGAATGTATGTGTCAGGGCGAACAGTGTAGGATTAGCTTGTTAGAAAATTTCAGAGCTGTCTGTCCTTAGCTGCCTGGTATCTGGCTCTAGGGTGATGGGACAGGTGTATAGTGCCTAGAGGGTGGGAGCCCAGTGAATGAAACGGTTGGGGTGTGGGTTCACATCGGCTGGCCTATATTTGAATGGCACAGTACTGGCAAGGTATGGATGATATTCGGTAGTTGTACCACCATTGTAGAGGACCACCAAAGTCAGAAAGACCCTGGATATCAAAACACCAGAAGATATAAAATAAGAGACATGATTATCACACTCAGAATGGCACTTAGGCAGTGTTTCCCACTTCCTGGCTTCTGTATGGCAGAAAGGCTCACTCATAGAGGGACAGGAAATGGGAACTTAGTGAAAGGAGATGTTGCGAAGAGAAAGGAAAGATCCAAGGATAATTTTAAAGATAGAAAATCACCTGAAAAGCCCCACCCTGATACAGCTTCAGAAATAGAACAACCTTATAAATTAATACACCGTCAACAGAGTCAAAGAAAAATAATCACATAATCATCTCAATAGATGCAGTAAAAGCATTTGAAAAAGTCCAACACTCATTCATGATAAAACTCTACAGAAAATGGGAATAGATGGTCTTTATCTCAAACTGATCAAAGCCATTTCAGACAAATCAATAACCAATAAAATTTTTAGTATATATGGTGCCAAAGTGAGCATGCCGACATACTAAGGGGACAAAAACTGAAAGTTTTCACTGTAAAATCAGGAGCAAGACAAAGATTCCAGTATCACCACTTCTATTCAGTATAATTCTGGAAGCATTAGCCAGAGCCATCAGACAAGAAAAAGAAATAAGAAGAATAGGAATAGGAAAGGAAGAAGTTGAACTCTCCTTATTTGCAGATGATATGATACCCTACGTTGAAGACCCCAGAACTCCACCAAAGGACTTCTAGACTTGGTAACTAAATTCAGTAGCAGAGCTGGATACAAAGTCAGCACTCAATCAATAGCCTTCCTGTACACAAACAACAATCTCCCTGAGAGAGAAATTAAGGAAACAACACCTTTCACGATAGCATCTAAAAATATTAAATACTTAAGAATCAATTTAACAAAAGAATTAAAAGATCTATACATTGAAGCTTCTAGCACTTGGAAAAGAGAGATTGAAGAGAATATCAGAAAATGCAAAGGTATTCTTTGTGCATGGATTGAAAGAACCATCATAGTGAAAATGGCCTTATTCCCCAAAGTATTATACAGATTTAATGCAATCCCAATCAAAATACCATTAGTATACCTCACAGATATAGAGAAAACATTCCTAAAATTTATTTGGAACCAGAAGAGACCTAGAATAGCAATTCTGGGCAACAAAGGCAAGGCAGGAACATCACAGTACCTGACTTGAAATTAGACTACAAAGCTATTGCAATAAAAACAGCAGGTTACTGGCAAAAAAAAAAAAAAAAAAAAGATCAGTAGAGCAGATTAAAAGATGTATGCACAACTTCAAACACACTCAGCCACCTTAGTTTTGACAAAGGGGCCAAACATGTTCACTGGATAAAAGATAGCCTCTTTAATATATGGTACTGGAAAAGTTGGCTTTCTACATGTCGAAGACTGAAATTAGACCCATGTCTCTCACCATGGACTAAACTAAAATTGAAATGTATCAAATATCTAAATATGCAAATAGAAATCTTTAGGAGGAGAGAATATGTGAAACTCTTGAAGAAATGGGTGTACACAAAGATTTCAGGAAGAAAAACCCAGTCACACAGGAAATGCTATAGAGAATCACCAGCTCAGATCTCATGTTACAAAAGCTTTTGCATAGCAAAAGAAATCACCAATAGAGTGAAAAGATTTTAGCCAATTGTCCCTAGATAAAGGACTAATATTTACAACATATAAATAATTAGGAAAAAATCAGACTGCTCCAAATTTAAAAATCCAATCCAAAAATGAACATCTGAGATGAATATACACTTCTCAGATGAAGAACTATGAATAGCTAATAAATATTTAAAAACATGTTCAACATAACTGGTCATTCAAGAGATGCCAACTATAGTAATGCTGAGGTTCTCTTTCAGTTCAGAGAGAATGACTGTCACAAGAAATCAACCAATTACAAATGCTTGTGGGGCTGTGGGGAAATGGGAACCCTTCTCCAAATTGGCAGGAATATAGATTAGTGTCACCACTGTGGAAATTAGTGTAGAGATTCCTCAAGAATACTGGGATTAGAGATTTCATTTGACCCAGCTATTCCCCTTCTGGGTGTCTTTCTGGAAGAGTTAAAAACATCATACCACAGTGACATAGATGCACCCAATATTATAGTTTGTGTCTAGACTCCCCCACCAACAAAGCCTCATGCGCTTTTAAATGGGGCTTTTGGGGAGGGAGCTGAATCTGGAGTTTATATTTGATTCATGGTTCAATGCTGGGTTTAAGGATGGATCATTGCTGGATCAATCCACTGACTGGGCTGGTGCCACCCTAACCCCAGAAGTCTGGATAAGATAAAAGGCGTACGAAGAAGCCTTTCTTTTCTTCTTTGCTCTTATTGTTGTTGTTTTTTTTGCATATGGAAATTACATTTAATGAGTATTGTATTCATCTTAATATTCCTATTAATCTTGTCTGATTATAATCCTGTATCAATTTATTTATTTATTTATTTATTTATT